AGACGCTGAAAAAACATCTCAGATATCACAGGTGGTTGTGAAATGTTGTGTTATGTATCTATCTGTCGACAAAGTTTGTGTGTATTTACATTGTTGTTTCGATTAAAAAATAAAGAAACCGATTGACCGACCGACCGTTTTGTTTCGAGTTGTCTTTATTATATGTGCGCCTGCCACGTGTTATTATCATTTTTGTTAAACCGAGCGGACGAAGAGGAAAGAATATGAATCAGACGGCGGTGGAAGAGGACGCTCGCGAGCTTATACGCGCGTTGTTGTTAGATGCAAATAACATGGATCGCGTTGACTTGAGACCGGACCGCGAACGCGTACTCCGGTCCGTTAAGAGAATGCTCGATGACTTCATACCAAAAACGTTTGGTCGCATGTACAAGGGTGAGTATCGTATCTGTTTATATTTTTTTTACAATAAAAAATAAACAAATCTACACGCCTCGTATGTCTCGATGTCGTTATAGGAGCACTTACAACTTTCTTGAGTCAACAACGGCGATCGCCGATCGATTTTGAGGACAGGCTCGTATGTCTCGATGTCGTTACAGGAGCACTTGCGCCCTTCTTGAGTCAACAACGGCGATCGCCGATCGATTTGGAGGACAGGCTCGTTATATTGGCCGAGCACGTGTTCCTTGATCGAGTTGTGAACGTCGGACGCGTTTTGATGTTATGCCTGGTGGCTCGGACCTGTTCCGTCGCGTTGGTCGACGCCGGAGAAGCCGATCGTGCTCGAGTGGAGAGTATCGCTGATACGATGTCTGGTTATCTGGTGTCGCGACACCTAGACTGGTTGACAGAGAATCATCGCGCGTGGGGGTGAGTATGCGGTAAAAAAATATATATGTTTTTTTTTGTTTGCACGAGGTGAATCAAAAGTTACAATAAGAAACTTACATTATTGTTCTCCATAGACTGCCACCACCACCATCATCGATGATGACATCCCTGCTACGCAATCTCGTCGTTTCTTTGACCGTAGTGTTGTGCAAAACTAAAACCTTGTATCTGACATTGTGTTGATGATTTTTTTTCCTTTTTGTTTTTTAAAAAAAACGCACACGGAAGTTTGTGTTGTTATTCATTGGTTTATTTTCACTGTACACAGATATCACATTGTTCAACAAATAAAAAAACTTTTAATCGTTCGCATAATATCGCATCTTCTGTCTTTTGTTTAAATAGAAAAACACACTTCGCTATATTTCTTCGTGTGTTTGTTTTTTTCCCTCTCGAGTAATTTACAAAAAGGTTGTTGCATTATCATTCAATGGAATCCAATCTCCTTTGTCATTTTGCACTTCGCCGGTTGCGTCGAGAAAGGACATGAATTCTTCGTCGTCGCTTGGGAACCCGCCGCGTTGCAATGGCCGCTCCTCGTAGAGAAAGGACTTGAATATTTCGTTGTCGCCTGGAAAACGGCCATCGTCGAAGACACGCTCGATTTCTTCCAGGAGTATATCGAGTGTTTCGTTTGGTTCGTTCCGCTCGATTTCTTCCGGGAGTATATCGAGTGTTTCGTTTGGTTCGTTCCGCTCGATTTCTTCCAGGAGTAGATCAAGTATTCTGTTTGTTTCGTGTGTTTCAAAAAGTTTTTTCAACTCGTCCCGTCGTTCTTGTATGTTCTTGATCGCGCTGTACACCTTCCCGTCGCTGTCAACAAGACCCAATATCACAAACACACAGAGTATAAGTCTACCGGAGGTTGTTGAACTACTACTCGATGTTGCCTTATTCTCCACGTCGCGCGCTCGGTATACTTCTCCGGGGTGAGCGCTGAAGTACTCGTAGATATTGACGATTCTAGTTTGAAGAACGTTGTCCGTCCGAAACGCGCGCGACGGGTTCGTGTTGTACAGGTCCCTTATATCAAAGTCGGGTCCCACGAGCTCTAAACCCAGTAGTATGTTGTAAACAACGGATACGTTGTATCTATACGTGGAGGGTAAACATTTTGTTTTATTGTACGTTAACGCGTACAATACATTGCCGAGATTAGACAGGAAGTCTTTGAGCTTGCAAGTGCGCAACCTTTTCAAAGACTTTTCATTCAAGGTTGAGTTCGCGTCCTCGATCCTCGCTTTCACTTCGCGTAAAAATTTCAACGCGTCAGATGGAGCCTGATCTTCTATCCGCACCGAGTGTTCCATGGCCTTTTGTGGGCGAGAATGAGTCGGTCTCGATCGTTAATGCGTGTAAACAAAACGCTCACACGGACGTATTAACTAAACCGCACGGACTGGGGGATAAAACCGTCCGTTTGTTATTCTTCGTCGGTTCTGCGATTGTTGACAATGTCCTCCTCCTCCTCCGTGATGAACTCACCAGCGTTGGAGCCAAGAGTGCGTTCGTTTCTACAAAGCTACGGATACGGATCAGAGGAACATCAACGCCTGTTTGTTAACATGAAATATGAAGTTTTCCTGTCACTGCCGGAAGCGATGCTGAAGAGACTGGGTTTGAACAATCAACACTTTATATCCGCTCACAGACGCGCCGCGGAGAAAAAAGTAAACGCGCCGCAACAAGATTCTGCATTTATACCGTCCGCCGACTCAACCGTGTTGAAAAACAAAGGAGGAGGGGCGTTTATCAAACCCGCGTTGTTTTCGTCTCGATCCGAGCGGAACGACTACGACGATATTGACGACGACGACGACGACGACGCACCGGCGACGATGAATTTCAGAGACTACTACTACCCCGCAAATCAACGCTGTGATGATGATACACTAGTGAACGAACCTCGTATAATCTCGATCGAGGCGTCTCGACTCGGGGATGGGTGTTGCGGAGGAAGAAGACACGGAAAGGAACAACACCGAGTTCTACGTGAAGAGACTTATAATAAGCGACGATCCCCGAGTCCGGACCCCGTGTACCACACGCAGCAACCCGCGCGCTACTTTAACTAAAGGGCTCTTCTTGGAAGTGTATATGGTAAATCCGGGTGTTATGTTTCGTCTTCTTCTTCTTTGTATGTGATAATTTGTAAAAAAAAATTATAAAAAACAAGTTCTCAACAAGTTCTCTTTATAGGAGGTTCTGTGTGTTTTTTTTTAATATAATAATGTATGTACGCTGTGTAAACACGCGCGCGTGTTTAAAAAAAATAGCGCGCTTACTCTTTATGTGAGATGTTGTTGTGATGGTAACACTCGCAAAGTTTTTTTATGTTTATGCGACGTTGTTGTGATACAAAGTGTGGAGCACGAAAAGGCAGTCAACGCGTCGTAACTCGCGCGAGGAGCTGATATTTGAAAACACACATTTTACCTATTATTTACTTTAGAGAGGAATTTGTTGTTATATCATCGTTTTCACACACACGGTTATGTTTAAGATATTTACCAACAATGCCACGCACGGACCGGCAACTCCGTTGAGCCCGGGGGGTTATTAAAAAAAAAGCACACACTAACAATATCTTGTTTATTATTATGTAACGAACGGAAAAAAAAAGGAAACAAAAAAAACCATGGCCTCTTCGAGGGGCCCTTCGGACGTCGGATCATCCCTCCGGCAATGTTTCCTACGGGACTTTGAACGTCTGATAGGGTTTGCGGACCGCGTTCCGGTCGTTTGCGAAATATGGCCCAAATTTATTGAATTTATCGGAGACCGTTGGTGGGGCGCCGAAATAACCGAGGACGATGCTCGAAATCTCGTGGAAAGGCAAGGTCCGGGGACGACGTTGATTTGCGCCGCGTCGACGGAACCCGGCGGGGCGTGCATCTGTTCGGGATACATTGCGTGCAAACAATACCGCGTTGTGAGATTTGACATTTTGCATCGCAACCTCGCGTCCTTCGAGTGCATGTTTCATGCGTATCACGGTGCTGCCATTATGATATTATCGCTTGCGATAAGAAGACCCGATCCGATGGATATTTTAATTCACGCTCTAACGGTAGGGATAGATGAACTCGCGCGGATCGATATTGAAGCCGGGCTGGCGACGGAGCCGTACCGATGTAATATTATTCCCAGGCCAAATAGCGTACGGATAAAGGAACCGATCAACACCGAATTGGCGATCGAAGATATTACAAATTTTGTGGCCTGTCTCAAATCGGAAGGATTGTGGTGGGGTCTATTGCCAGAACAGTTCGACGACGAATATGTCGAAACGAAAAGGACCGGCGTGTTGAAGGTGAAGAAAGTACCATCATATGATGGCTATCTGCGATATATGCGGAATCCGAGATATAAGAAGGCGCGATTTCTCCACGAGTATTTGGAAAATTTTGACAATCAGAGTCAAAACAAAGTTTTCGGTGTGGCGGGTATGATGAAGATCACACATACCGGAGTCGGTTGTTTGTTTCACATCTACGGACTCGCTCAGCGTATAGAGGTGTCGTTCAGGATACAGAACGGGTTTCGCGTAGCGATTCAACCGTTTAAATCTGTAGTAGTAAACCCGGGCGACTTGATGAGGTTCATACGAGAAGACCTGGGTGTCACGCTCGTCCCGTATAACCCGGTTGTCGTTTACGAGTGGATGCGCCACAACAACTCTATCGGTAACGTACAACAGGAAAATGACTAGTGAGTAATTTGTTAGAAATAATATATATCTCGATACGGGAACGTTGTGTGTGTATAATCACCTGTTCGCTTAGTAAATAATTTCTTATGTCGTTTGTATTGTGTGTGTTTTGTTTCTCATTAAAAAAAATGTGAAACGTTGTTTGTTTATTATTGATTTTAATTAATTACAAAAAGTGTGTTTTTTTTGTTACACATACTTAAAAGATCCTACCGTTGACAATTTAAAATTTAAATGAACTTGGTAGATCCGGCTGCTTCTTGTCCTTGCGGAAGCTGTTATCGTCCTCTGATGAATTTTAATTTTCCTCCGTGCGTCAAGGATAAAGTTTTTTCCTTCACCGTATTTTTTTTAAAAAAAAAACAACTCAGATAACATACAGAAAACAAACAAATGTTTAACTATGATAATATAAAAACATTTTTAATTTATCCGGTTTTGTTTTTTTTAGTTGCGTCCAGTTGATCCTAAGCCTCGGGAGCCACGCTCGGTTACATCGAGAGTCTGGAAATAAAGGATGGAGAAAAAAAAGGTTGTTTTATTAATCTGGTATTTTTTGTTTAGAGTACATCCAGACACAAGAAGATCGTGACGCTCCGATACCTTCTCTTGGACCAATTTCGGATAACAGATCTTCTCACAGACGAGTTGAGCAATTCGATCGCCCTTTTTTACTGTAAGGGGAAAAAGAAAGAGCATGCGGTCATCGGTTGGTGGTGCGACAGAGGCTTTTTTTTTTCCCTATGCGTACCCTCAAATGTCTCCTTGCCAAAGTTAAAGAGTATTACGCCTAGATTTCCTCGATAGTCTCCATCAATGACGCCTCCTGGAGGTAAAAACACGTTAAAATACAGACAACGCAAATCAGAACCTCAACTTCACTCACTCACTCACCTCCCACATCGATGAAATTTTTTGCCGCCAGGCCCGACCTCGGCGCTGGAACAAGAAACAATCTCTTTTCAACGGATTCAGTTTCATTTCATCACCAACAACCCTACCATGTTTTTTTTTTAAAAAAATATACAAAATTGACACTATTTGTGCCCGTAATGCGGATTTTTATATTTCTTTTTTTTTTAAAAAAAACCTTACCCGCTCTACCATAATACCCCTCAGGAACAGCGATTTGAATGTCCGTTTTCACGACGACCTTGTCCATGGCTCCGACGGAGTAATCGTACGCGCTGAGAAAAAAAAACATTAAGATTTTATACGGGAAAACAAATCCGCGCATTTAAAGATGAATAACACACACCTGTACAGATCAAATCCCGCCGCTTTAGCGGATCCGCGAGTCGGGGTGGTGGCGCGCTCGGACAGTTTTACAAACCTGAGCGTCGGAACATCTGAAAAATCCGAAGCGGACATGTTGACAACCCGCGCTCTTGTGGATCTCGATCGATGGTGCGGGGTATCGGCGGCGTAGGTTCGACGAGGACCACGTGTGTACACAACACAGCAGAAGTTTAACCTCTTCTGGGTGCGACAAGCGAGACGAAATGTAATATTGCTGTGTGCTTCTGGGGAGCGTGGTATTTATACAGTTTCTTGTTTTTTTTCTCACATTAATCTATTTGACCGACCGTGAACAGTCACGGTCGGACGGTCGTGTTTGTATTGAAACAGATGCAAACACTTTTTTATACCAATCTCTGGTCGGTCGATTATATTTACAGTTTGATTTTTCTGACCAACTCGCAATTGCGATCGGACGGGTTGGTCGCTTGTAATATTTTATAAAAATTATAACCAACCGATTCATACCCGCGATTGGTCGGTTATAATTACAGTTTGCTATCTGACCGATATATTTAAAAACAACACATGATGAAATCATCATAGTTTATTTAAAGCATTTTAATTTTATTTTAATTTTCATGTACATAAAAATGATACATTCTGGTAAAGTAAAAAGTTTCGATTTATGTTTTTAATATATTCCAGACATAAACAAGAAGTTACAAAAAAACATGTATCGTTTTGTCTATTTTTTCCCCAACGTCATCGGATTGGGCCATTGCCATCATTTCACGTTTTTTTATTCCAACAGAAGCATCGAAGGGAACAAATGTAACATGTAGATGATCTCCTAACGTAGATATCAGTAGTTTCGGTTCCGTGTGTGAGACGCGCTCTCCTAGGACATTTCATTCACGTTGTTGGGTTTTCTTTATTGCCACGACAGAAGCGTCGAAAGGAAGAAATTTGAAATCCAAGAAACGACATTCCAGTATAGATCGCATCGTATCCTCCGGTTTCGCTAATACTCCGCAAATATCCGTACGTATGTAAAAGCCCTCGTCTCCTTTCGGTTCTATGTTCACATTCAACACCATGTTCGCGGTGTATATGTGGAACATGCAGCCGTCTGTTATGTCGCGGTAGTCGTAGAGCATGCACGCTAAAGCCGGCTCCTGAGTGCCGTAACGTACAAATCCGCTGTTTTTCTTCTGCAGGATGTACTCGTCGAGCGCCTCGTCCTTGTCTTCAAAAACGTTTGGAATATAGCCCCACCACAGATGTTCCGATTCAAGTTGTAAAACAAATTCAGACAGCTTGTCCGCAATCCATGTGAGTTTACAACTCGATTCTACAGAGGGCGCAATTTGCTGGTACGGCTGTTGAATGTCGTCGGGCGTTACTTCGCAACAAAAGTACCGTTCTGTCACAAGCCCGTTGGTCAGGTCTTTTTGTGCGAAGCGCGCCACTACATCTTGCTTCGCGGCGTAGAGGGCCCCGAGGAGACTCCGCTTAAACAAAGATGGCTCTTCGTGTAGTAGAATCCGAACCTCAAATTCTTTGAGTTTGACTTGGACGATATCAAAGTCCACAACGCCGTGCGTTTTTGTCACCACGGATCCAGACGCGACGTTACCTTTGTAAATACGAGTCAAATCTGTTGCGTACACCATCATCGAGCCGGGTCTCGCGTTGGCCAGGTACGTTCTCGCTCCTTCTCTGGTCACCGCGGTGCCCCACCATTCTTTGCCCAAGTCGAATATGAATTCGCGCCATTGATCTATCAGCGCCGGCCTGTGAGACATCAAGATGTATCCCTCTGATGCCTCTATCTGGCAGTTACTACGCGGACTAGACGCGCGTTGAGACACGTCGCTGTTGTTAGAATCGAGTAAAGTCGACATTCCCGCGACGATTGTTATCTTCTATCCGTTCCAAAAGAAAGAACAAGAAAACGAAAAAAAAGAGTGATTTTCTTTTCACGATTCGGAGAGGTGTACTTATACCGGTTGTGTGTGTTTTTTTTTGAGAAAAAAAACTCTGTCCAACCCACTTCCGTAACGGTCGGTCGGTTTAAAGATAGGTTTCCTCCGAACTGTGTTTGTAAATCACATCGATGACCCGGCAACGGTTGAATGTTTGTAACGATGTTTTTATGTTTAGTCGGTCGGTTTGATAAACTCGGTATGATGATGTGTGCGATGTTTTTGTGTTTGGTTGGTCGGTGCGCGCATCGTATTTTAAGTCCCAAAACGGCCGACGCGGTTGTTTTCCTCTTTGTGTCTTTTCAATCAATGTACTTATAACAACTCTGTTTTTCCGCGGGCACACTACACGCTGGATGCAATGGGTGGATGTTACGAAAAAGCCCGTTTTGATCGTACACCACAACGCGAGGACTTTATAACACCGTCGGCGTACTTGAACGGAGTGTCAGAATATGTACTTAGATATAGACAGAGAGAGGTCGCCCTTTATTTTTTGACGGATGACGACGCGACTACTACTACTACCGACCCGGCGCTGATGAAGTTTGGTCCTGTAGAAGATACGGCGTATAAAAACAATAAAGGCGAGGTGAGCGGATGCGCCAAGTTCTACCTTCCCGTAACGGGTAAAATGGAAGTCGTGGGTTACGCGACGGGCACCCCCTACGAGTGTGAACAGTTGCTCTTAATGGTTCACGAAAACGGAAAATTGTACGGTTACGACGGAGACCAGATGCATCTGCTCGCGGATAGTCTCGAACAAATATTTGAAGAAACCCCCGAACTCATTTTCCCTCCGTTGGAGAGTTATTGTTACGGGGAAGCGTTCAAGGACGCAACAATGGACTTTTGGGACAGAGCGAGGACTAGTCCTCGCGCGCAAAGAGCAGAAGAGGAACACCGCGCCTTGATTGCATCGCGCGCGCTTATGGTATCGGAGCTGATACAAAAAAACAAAGAGAAACGAAGAAAATTGGCTGCTGCCACGCGTCGCGATAAACAGCAACGGACCTGAACCTCTCGCAATGATTATTGCATAAATGTTTTGTTATTAATTTGTGTGTGTACGAGGGGGGGGGGTAACAACAAGCTGGTGGTGGTCATTTTTTTTTGTGAACATTATATATCTCTTGGTGCTATCACAAAGACGCATATTATCCGTTACATTTTTTTATAACAACAATAATAAAAAGAAAATAAAACATCAATGCACGTGTTGGTTTTTTTTCAATATAAAAATATTTATTTTTTTTGTGTGATATATCAAACACAATAATAATATAAAAACCAATCTGGAGAACCACTGGGTTTTTTTTACTGCACGGTGACCTGAACAGAAGCTACATAGCGACCGTTAGTGCCTCGATCGAATTGCCGCGGAGACTCCCTTGTTGTGCACGTGTACAGGCCCGCGTCATCCTCCCGCGTGACGTTCTTCAGTTCCAGCGGAAAAGAGACGCTTATCCCGTCGGTCGAAACTTTACGCTCCCGTCCTTCCGTCACGCGATAATCTTCGTTGTCGGGGTTGTCGTAGCTCGGACGGAACGTCCACACCACCGAGCCGAATATATCGTCCCCGAATATGTCGCACGGCAGCGAGATCGAGGCTCCCCGTTTGACGTTGACGGACGAGTGTCCTTGGACAGACACGCGCGTCGTGCGCCGTTGAATACAGACACCCTCGTCGTCGTCGTCGTCGTCGTCCGGATAACTCTCCAGAACGCAAACGTACGTACCGCTGTCGGAACGGGTCAGATTTTCCAGTTTCAGTTCTTGTCCGGCGGCCGAGGGAATGTTGTCGGTAACGACAACGGCCCCGTCTTTCATCCAACGCGTTTCGACTCGAACCTTCGTCGCGCACGACGACGCGTCGCCGCATCGGAGAGACAAATCCTCGCCCGCCTTCTTCTGTATCGGTTGATCGTTGTCGACCACGCGTAGTACCGTCACGACGACCTTGTCCATATTGTTAAATCTCTCGTGACCCATTGTCCAGGATTCCGTAGTTTCGTATCTGTATCTGTTCATGTACTGATAGAGCTGGTTGTCTTTGTGCCAGGCGACAAACAACACGTCCTCCGATATGTATCCCACGCAAGGTATCGTCACCTGGGCGCCTCTGCGAACGAACATCGTTCGATCTTCGACTATCTCCTTTATGTAATTACAATCGCGAATGACCGTCGCCTCATCGTCGTCCGTTACCTTTACATACTTTCTTTTGCGAACGGCGGTTGTCGCGCCGTAATCGTCGCCCGGTGCCTTCTGCACGTACTTGATGTCCGCGCGAATGGCCTCCGTGTCCTCTGCATTGTGCGTGCTCGCGGAGAATCGGTCCTGTTTGTTGATGATTCGAACGGGATCGAATAATAACACTAGCAACAACGCGCACGATACGCACAAAAGAATAGAGCACACCATCATTATAGGACCGGTAATATGGCTCATGTTGTTGAGCGCGCGAATCTTTACAAGGTCGTGCGTATAGAGCGATGCGTCTTATATATACACAATCTCCCGGCGATCGCACCGGGACAGATATCGGTCGGTCGGATTACTTACACAAAGTTGGTCGGTCGGAGATGTATAAACAACACGCGAATAAACTTAGGGAGCCGACGTATGTAAACCGACCATCGCGTTGTAAAATTATCAATCGGTTTTGTAGGTCTGTGTGTCTCTGTATTATAATAATAATAATAATAATAATAATAATAATAATAATAATAGCTCATAAGTTACACGGTGTCTATAAAATATACTGTTTACCCGTAGAAAGCAAAAGTGTAGCCGCGTCTTAAATGTTTATTTATATTTGTTTTTTTTTTGCTGCGGTTTTTTTTAAGACACATTTTTATTATTCAAAGAATAATAAATGGGAGAGGGAATGAAAACAAGACTATATAATAACACCATTATTAAGTGTGTGTGATATATGTTTATTGGTTTGAAAATAATAAAACCACCAAAAAAGGTTACATTATTGTTTGTTACATATCGTTGTTGAATTTAAGTCTGCACGGTAACCTGAACAGACGTGACATAACGACCATCGGAGACCCGATCGAGCGACCACAAGGCCTCTCTTGTCGTGCACGTGTACACGCCAGAGGACTCGGGCGTGACGTTCTTCAGTTCCAACGGAAAAGAGACGCCGGTTCCGTCGGGCAAAGCGACTCTCGCTTTAATCCCTTCTGTCAAGCGACGGTCTTCGGTGCCGTCGGGGTTGTCGTTGCTCGAACGGAACGTCCACACCGCCGAGCCGAACATCTCGTCCCCAAATATGTCGCACGGCAACGTAACGGATGATCCGCGTTCGAGATTGACGGACAAGTGCCCTTGGACAGACAGGCGCAACATGCGCCATGCTTGAGCGCACTTCGTGTCCCTTTCTCTTTGCTCACAAATGTCCAGAAGGCAAGCATACACACCGCCGTCGGAACGGGTCAAGTTTTCCAGTTTCAATTCTTTGCTGGTGGAAACGATGGCTTCGCCCTTCAACCACCGATATCTGA